TAGGAGAAAGGCACTCAGCTCACCTGTGGTCACGAACAGTTTATTAGGGTGGGAGATCAGGTAGGGATTTGTGGATAAAGCCCCAGTGAGTGGGAACCTATGGTGGTAATAGGTAATGGGATTTCGGCATCTGCAGTTTGTAATGGACTCATTCAATTGCCCAAACATAGTAAAGAGAACCTCTAACAGAAAAAGCCAAGGGCTGCAGTTGGGGGATTCTAGATTTTTCTACCACCTCATTACTGCCTCAGTACATGACTTTGAATAAGTCACTTCATTATTCTTAGCCTTGGACTCCCATTTGTAAAATGAAGGGACTGAACTAGGTGACTGTGGTTTCATATTTCTATAATCATAGTCAAAATAGGGATGTAAGAGGCATTTTATTTTGGGAGTTAATATATAAATTTATTCTCATATGATAAGGCTAAAAGGTTGGTGCTTCCTACATACGTAGAGGATAGTTTAAATAGTAATAAGCTAAATGTAGATATTACTTTTTAACTATAAAACAGTTTCATAAGTCTCATAAGGCAATGTGGTCTATTGGTAAAAACATAGTTTTTGTAGGTATATTCAGAACTGGTTTAAACTCTTAATTCTGCCCAAACTATACAGCTTTCTAATCCATCCTACATACAACTGCCAGAATTATCTGAAACAGATATTATAATCTTATGCCTCTGTCAATGGCAAAATCATAAGTTTCAAACTCTAGCATGACAGCCAGTGATTCACAGTTTGGTTCCAGCCTTCTTTCTCTTCTCATGTTCTGCAGGATCTCGTATTTAGCACAGGATTTCCCAAACAGTCCCCCAGAATACCACCGTGCTGAGAGATATTAAGAAATATTCAATAAAAAAGGGTTCCATGGTCAAATAAATCCTGCTCAAATGTCATTTCCTATGTGAAGCCTTCCTGAAATCCTTCCAAAAAAACTACTTAATCTCTTTTTATTCCCAAAGTACTACACTTATATTTGACTTTGGGCAGTTTTTTGAATTGATAACTGAATTGAGGTTTACTTAAAGTAAACCACAGCTATACCTAAGTTTTACATATTCAGTCTTCACATTTTTCCAAGTTCATTATTGTACAAAAATCTAAATAGTATTTTTCATTCTTTTGAAAAACATCTGACAATAAATCGGATTCCAAAGTACTCTGCTATAACGACATATCTATCATAAAAGCAATATGGGCTATGGGAGAAAAAAAAAAGATCTGGTTTCCATTTCTAGTTCTGCCACTAACTAGTTGAGAAACACTGGGCAAATTACTTAACCCTTTCTGACTCTCAGTTATCTTACCTGTAAAATGAAGATAATTCCTAAACAGGTTTGTTGATAGTTTGGTAAGATAATGACTGAGTCAATCTATATAAACTATATGAAAGAATATATAATATTTAGCACATAGTAGATACTAAAAAAGTCATCTTCTTTTCCAAGTGTGCTTATACAGTAGTTTCCTTCTACCCTAATTTGTAATAAAATGGCACAAATGAAACATAATAGAATTTTTAAAAATCTACTTAAGTTCCTGTTTTTCAAATTGTTTATATAGTGTTCTTTCTTGCAAACCCTGAAGGTCAAATTAGAAGGGGTAGTAATAAAATACTGGTATGTCACGTCTAGAAACAATCTTTCAGAGACATCTACTTTGGCAAGAAGATTTTAAGCAACAGTACTCTTTGAGACATTAGATGAGATCTCATCTGAGATATTCAACTACTGATTTATCAATTAGCTACTTTAAGAGGGTTCAATAACTTCTTAAATGTTCTTTTAGTCTATTCTCATGTATGCTTTTCTTTTTGTTTTCTTTCTTGAGACATGTTGGTGTTTCTATTGAATGTGACAGCTATGTGATCTGAGTATTATCCTTTGCAAGGGCCATCAAAATGAATAAATGGCATTTGGCTCTCTTTTGGAGATGTTTGGATCACCTTGGATTTAATAGAGTAAAGTAGAACTGTTATCAGTATATTCTCCCTCAGGGAAGCTAATTTGGTTACTAAGACAATCATCCTTGTTGTGACAGATACTTTTAATTGTACTATCACTACTTATCTCTCTAGCACAACTCAAATATCTCCTTTTAGAAGCTTTCCATGATCATCACAGGCAGAAATTTATGCACATCTTACTAAGTACTTTTAGTATCACACACTGTTAGTATGTTTATTGCCTTGTGCTTTGCATTACCTTAATTATTTTTATATAATCCTTGTGAAATAGTACCTTTCCTTGTTTTGAACATTTTACAGATGAAGATACTGAAGAATAGGTACAGCAAGAAATTTGTCAGTGGATAACAAAATGGCAAGAAATAGAGATTCTGAACTTCAAGAAATAAAAGTGGTAAGAAATCAAGATTCCAGTCTTAATCAGAGCTCCTTTAGATTAGACCACATTGCTTTTCCTTCCTTTTCCATTATCTTTAAGATCTTGAAAAATATTGTAAATCTTGTCACAAATTTCAGAACAATTTTCTACTTACAAATTCTAAAACAATTTTTCTAAGTTTCTACACATAAAAATATCAAGTTACCTGAAAGAATTGAAAGTAATACTCCAAACTTTGACAATTAGAAGATTCTCAGAAAAAGAAGTTCTCTTTTGTTAAGAATGATACCCAGAAAATAATTAGGGAAAGATTTTTTTTTTAAGCCTTAAGTATAAATATCAATAGAAAGTATCAATTCTAATTACTTTACAGACCAGTATAGGATTAGATTAGACATGTGAAGCAAAGGTCTCTTTAAATAAAACTTTACAAAGCAGCGAGGAATACTATTGTATCAAACTAGTGGGCTATTTCCCTTAACTTGTGCTTCAGTACTAGAGTAAGTAATAGTTTAGCTACATGCACTAGGTGTATTTTGTAATCCTATTTTGAGTCATCTAAACAGACAGACTGTGCCCTTGCCTACATTAGTACTACTTTTACATGTTTATTACAAAACGTATATACTACAAATACGTTTTTACAAGTCAATCTTCCTGACCAGATAGTGAGTTCTTTGAGACCAGCAGCCATGTCTTATGTGTTTTAGTATATTAATATTAGTTAACATTTACTGAGTGTTTTACTATGTGCTAAGGTTTAAATGCATTATTTCATTTAATACTCAGAAAACTATAGGAGATTATTACACCGACTTTAGAGATGCGGTCTATGAGCTCTATAAGAGCAAGATACCTCATTATTTCACTCACTTGTACATCTCCTGTGCCTAGTACAGCACTGGGCATACTGAAGGCACTTAAAAAGTGTTTGCTGAATAACAAGGAAACCAAAGCTCAAAGAAGTAACTTATCCAGAGTATACTGTGAATAAGCAGAGAGACTAGTTTGAATCCAGGTCTGCCTCACTTTGGATCTTAAAAGTCTGTGCTCTACTGCCTCTTTATTTCCGAATTCCGGCTCAGAATCTGGTAATGAGAAAGTTCACAGTAAACACCTGATGAATGAATGTCTTACCTTCAGATTGCTTATCTACTTCACCCTAGCATTCCTTTACTTCTTCACTTCCCTATCCTGATTTTTAATCTCTAAGCCTAGGATATAAGCCATAGCTATAAGTTTTCATCCTGCCTACCTTCCTATCATACACAGATATCTAAGTATCTTCCCTATACACAGAGAAGAAAATATTTATTACTGGAAAAACACACGGAAATTGCAGCATGAAAAATTATATGAATAGTTTGTTCCTTTTATTACATAAACACAGTGTCAAATAAGTCAAAAACACAAAACAAAACTGAATGGTAATAAACTTAACTCAAAATTTCCAAATTTTGTTCTTTTGTGGTTATTATTTTTCTTTCTTATAAAGGCCAATAAGAAGTTTATAAAAACTGAAGTATTCTTCACGTAAATAAAATTCACTTTTTACACTGTGTCAATAACTATTTCTAATAAAGGGGTAAATATATAATGACATCACTTCAAGCTATAGTAAACAGGAAAGTGAGGATGCCCCACCCCCCATAATATCTACATTAGTACATCTACTTTCAGCTGGCCTGTGGAAAAAAGCAAGCACGTGGATTTGGAATTTATTTCTTCAAGAAACAGATTTCAGGTGGTATTGTCTAGTTTAAGTTTAAAAGATTATAGGAACATTTACTTTTTTATATAAGCACAAAATATTCTAAAAGTACAAGGCCTCTAATCCTCCTGAAATGTGTGCTTGTTTGCGTGCTTATTTAGTTATTTAACCTTTATCTATCTACCTATAATATCTATCTATCTATCTATCTATCTACCCGCTTTGTTAAAAGAAGGATCTAGTTACAGCCCTGGCTCTGTCCCTTAATAACTGTGTAACTCTGGGACAAATTACCTAGTATCTCTGAGCTCATTTCCCTTAAAATATAGACAGTATTTCATATTTTGTAGGACTGCTGGGGAGATTAGGGTCTATGTAGTAATAAGCATAGTGACCAGGCACAGCATAGCACTCAATAAATAACAGCTCTCTTTATTTAGGGTCTGATACTTCATTTTACTCTGGTTTCATTCTAGGATGCACTTAAGTTATTATTTCTTACACCAAAGTTTCCTATGTTTGTTTCCCTCAATATAAATAACCGTCCACCTCAAAAAACTACTTAAAATATGTTAGACTGAACATTCCTTGAGTATTTTCCCCTTATCTTTTCTAGAAAATAATGTCATAAAAAAGACTGTTTACATGTGCATGTGTATAATGCTTCCTGGTTTTTTTTCTGCTTATAAGAGCAATGTTGCACCTGCATGACTATCTATCAATAGCCAGTGTGGCCTGGGCATTGACTATTCTTGGTATATTCCTATTTTGCTTACATGTGCTTCTGTAGGAACTTGTTTGTAATCTCTGTTTTAAACACTGTTCTTTCCTAAAACATCTACCATTTCATTTATAGAAGTTGTATATGCATATAATTTACTAGAAAAGGAAAACACAAGGCAGGTTAAATAATAAAATGTGTAATAATTTTTAAAAATTACCTGATGGAATACAGGCTCCTTTACCTTAAGGTAAACCTGAAAAATATTAAAAGAAATACATGTAAATGAAGTGCATTACAAAGGGGAAAGAAAACCTATTCCTGCTACTCTGCAAATCTCAAACATCTCCTGCTTCCCTAGTCTTGCTTCTTAGATCTGACTCCAGCCACGTAAAACCAACCAGATTAGGTGGCATGCCACAAAAGGGCTGTTACCTTCAGGTGGGTGTGCCCCAGTGCTCATTTCATCATGGTAAACTAAATGTTTCAAAGCTGTTGTGGATTACTCTGGCCTCTTGGCCTCTGCATCAGCATCAAGGAGAGGCAGAGATGCGTGGATAACTCATGAGGGCTGAAGAAGTTATGCTGACAATCCCTGCAGCAGATCTATTCTACAGCAGCAAGAATGCTGGACTTAGAGACAGGAGCTAAATTTTAAACTGCCACTTACTTGCTACATGCCTGAGCAAGTCACTTAACCGAAAGACTCATTTTTCCTTATTTGGATAATGGGAATAATAGTGGTGAGCAATAATAAGCCAAAATATGTGCAAGTGTCTAGCGCATAATATGTGCTAATAGGTGAAAACATTTAAAACAAATTTCTTGTCCTTTCTTCTGCTTCTGAAAACCTCTAATTCATTCACCTAGATACATGAAAGTTACACAAACCCTAGTTTTAGGCTCCAGTGTCATGTGGGTGATTAAGTTCAATGCCTACTTATTGCATGCATTTATTGCCCTATAAGAGTACACCTTTAGGGACTTCCCTGGTGGCACAGTGGTTGGGAGTCCGCCTGCCAGTGCAGGAGACATGGGTTCGAGCTGGGGCCCGGGAGGATCCCACATGCCGCGGAGCAGCTGGGCCAGAGTGCCACAGCTGCTGGGACCCCTGCGCCTGGAGCCTGTGCTCCGCAGCGGGAGGGGCACCGCAGTGAGGGGTCCGCGCGCAGCAGCGAAGACCCAATGCAGCCAAAAATGTATTAATTAATTAAAAAAACGAAAACCATTACACCTTTAAAATGACATGGTAGAGAGGAGTCAAAATTTAACTTATAACCCTGAAATGACTCCCATCACATGCAAGACAAAGTCCAAATTTTAAAGTCTTCCATAATCTTGCTCCGGCCTTTCTGCTTAGTCTTATTCCTCTCCTCTTGTCTCTTTCTCATCCTAGGCTCCAACAAATATGCTAGTTTCATGCTTCTGTATCTTTAAACATGCTGTGCTTTACTTTGTTCCGAAATTGCCCCCTGCTGGTAAACACTCATCTTTCCAGATTCAGCTCAAACTATACCTCTTTCTTGAAATCTTTTCTGACTCCTCTGCTAAGCAGAATCCATCACTCATCCTCTTTACCTGACTGTCCATATATAAACGTTACGGCATTTATTAGTTTGTTTCTCTCCCCTACAAGGCAATAATCTTTTTGACAGAAAGGACAATTATTATGTATCTCTACAGCCTCATTTAATGTAGTGCTGATCTCATAAATTTTATGTAATTTTATCATTTGTCTATAGAACTTCTTATTCCTGAAGGAAGTTCCCTCACCACAGGAAGAGATTATCTCCTTGAAGCACCCATAGAGCTTTAATAGTAAGATGTGTAGGGGCTTCCCCAGTGGCGCAGTGGTTTAAGAATCCACCTGCCAATGTAGGGGACACGGATTCGAGTCCTGGTCTGGGAAGATCCCACATGCCACGGAGCAACTAAGCCCGTGAGCCACAACTACTGAGCCTGTGCTCTAGAGCCCGCGAGCCACAACTACTGAAGCCCTCGTGCCTAGAGCCCGAGCTCTGCAACAAGAGAAGCCACGACAACGAGAAGCCTGCGCACTGCAACGAAGAGTAGCCCCAATTAACCACAAATAGACAAAGCCCGTGCATAGCAACGAAGACCCAATACAGCCAAACATTAAAAAAAACAAATTAAGTAAGATGCGTAGGAACATCTATATAACTCTAAATTCAGTAAGGTAGAATGCTTTTAATCTCTGAAATTTGTTATTTCAAAATACGAATTTTCCTTTACATAATTTCAGATTCTCATTGTTACTAATAAAAGAAATGCAGAAAGGCATGCCTCTTAAAAGCATTTTTTTAAGGCAAAAGAATTATGGAGTCCTTACTATGTGCCAGGTATTAATTCTTACAACTAATGTGAAATGTATGCTATTATTAATTTTACAGATGAGGAAAACTAAAGCAGAGAGTTACCTCTCTCTTTAGTAACTTACCCAAAGTCCCACAGTTATTAAGTAACAATGTTGGTCAAAACTCAGATATGACTGACTCCCAAGCCTAAGTTTTCAGCCACATCAGCTCTTAGCTTACAAAGGTAAGTTGTCTTGACTCTACCACCAATTCTCCATATAAATTTGGTTGGTCAGGCAAGTCACTAAAACTCTCTGGACATTAGTCTCTTCTTTTATATAGTAACAAGACTTCCTTTCACCTCTGAAATTCTAGGACTCTTTCCTGATTAACAAGTATGTATGCAAAGGACTACGCAGGGCAATGTAGAAACATAAGGAAATACAATATCTTTGCTCTTTCAATCTCTTTTCCACCTTCTCAACTCACTGAAATCTACCTTCTGCCTTCATCAATCTGCTGTGGACAGTACCCTCATTAAGGTTACTTGGTCTTTTTTATGGGTCAAACCTCAATTTCATTTTATTCAGCCTCTCAGAGGCAACTGGTACCCTTTCTAGAAACCTCTTTGTACTCTGTGACATCAAGCTCTCCTGGTTTTCCTACACCTCTGACTACCTCCTTTGTTGGCTCCACCTCTTTCACTTGACCCTCAAGTGGTCAATGTTCCAAGGTACAGCATGGTGACTATAGTTAATAATACTGGACTGAATACTGGAAATTTACTGAAAGAGTAGATTTCAGGTGCTTTCATCACACACACAGGAAACAGTAACTACGTGATATGTTAATTAGCTTGACTGTAGTAATATTTTCACTATGTATATTAAATCATCATGTGGTACACCTTAAATGTATAAATTTAAATTTTTATTTAAAATGTTGACTCATTGAATTCCTTAGACATTACAAAATGAGACATTCTCACCTTATCTTTTTAAATTTTATTTTTTTATAAGTAGGTCCCTGTTGGTTTCCCACCTTAAATACAGCAGTGTGTACATGTCAATCCCAAACTCCCAATCTATCCCTCCTTCTTAAAAAGAATTTGTATATTGACAGGTTTTAAATGTCAAACAGACAAACCAATTGTAACTTTTAGGGTATAATACCATAAATGTATATTCTTTTGTTTTTAACTGAGAAAAAAGAAAAGCCCAGTGTTACAAAGGGTTGTTATCTTTTTTTTTAACATCTTTATTGGAGTATAATTGCTTTACAATGTTGTGTTAGTTTCTGCTGTATAACAAAGTGAATCAGCTGTATGAATACATATATTCCCATAGCCCCTCCCTCTTGCATCTCCCTCCCACCCTACCTATCCCACCCCTCTAGGTGGGCAAAAAGCACTAAGCTGATCTCCCTGTGCTATGCAGCTGCTTCCCATTAGCTATTTTACATTTGGTAGTGTGTATATGTCAATGCTACTCTCTCACTTTGTCCCAGCTTACCCTTCCCCCTCCCTGTGTTCTCAAGTCCATTTTCTATGCCTGCGTCTTTATTTCTGTCCTGCCCCTGGTTCATAAAAACAATTTTTTTTTTTTAGATTCCATACGTATGTATTAGCATACAGTATTTGTTTTTCTCTTTCTGACTTACTTCATTCTGTATGACAGACTCTAGGTCCATCCACCTCACTACAAATAACTCAATTTCGTTTCTTTTTATGGCTGAGTAATATTTCATTGTACATATGTGCCACATCTTCTTTATCCATTCATCTGTCAATGGACACTTAGGTTGCTTTCATGTCCTGGCTATTGTAAATAGTGCTGCAATGAACACTGTGGTACACGACTCTTTTTGAATTACGGTTTTCTCAGGGTATATGCCCAGTAGTGGGATTGCTGGGTCATATGATAGTTCTATTTTTTGTTTTTAAAGGAACCTCCATACTGTTCTCCATAGTGGCTGTATCAATTTACATTCCGATCAGCAGTGCAAGAGGGTTCCCTTTTCTCCACACCCTCTCCAGCATTTACTGTTTGTAGATTTCTTGATGATGGCCATTCTGACCCATGAGAGGCGATACCTCATTGGTGTTTTGATTTGCATTTCTCTAATGATTAGTGATGTTGAGCATCCTTTCAATCTGTTTATCTTCTTTGGAGAAATGTCTATTTAGAACTTCTGCCCATTTTTGGATTGGGTTGTTTTTTTGATATTGAGCTGCATGAGCTGCCTGTATATTTTGGAGATTAATCCTTTGACAGTTGCTTCGTTTGCAAATATTTTCTTCCATTCTGAGGGTTGTCTTTTTGCCTTGTTTATGGTTTCCTTTGCTGTGTAAAAGCTTTTAAGTTTCATGAGGTCCCATTTGTTTATTTTTGTTTTTATTTCCATTTCTCTAGGAGGTGGGTCAAACAGGATCTTGCTGCGATTTATGTCAAACAGTGTTCTGCCTAGGTTTCCCTCTAAGAGTTTTATAGTGTCTGGCCTTGCATTCAGATCTTTAATCCATTTTGAGTTTATTTTTGTGTATGGTGTTAGTGAGTGTTCTAATTTCATTCTTTCACATGTAACTGTCCAGTTTTCCCAGCACCACTTATTGAAGAGGTTTTTTTCCCCTCCATTGTATATTCTTGCCTCCTTTATCAAAGATAAGGTGACCATATGTGTGTGGGCTTATCTCTGGGCTTTCTATCCTGTTCCATTGATCTATATTTCTGTTTTTGTGCCAGTACCATACTGTCTTGATTACTGTAACTTGGTAGTATAGTCTCTGAAGTCAGGGAGCCTGATTCCTCCCGCTCTCTTTTTCTTTCTCATGACTGCTTTGGCTATTTGGGGTCTTTTGTGTTTCCAAACAAATTGTGAAATTTTTTGTTCTAGTTCTGTGAAAAATGCCATTGGTAGTTTGATAGGGATTGCATTGAATCTG